CGGCCCGGCCGCTGGCGGAAGCCGTGGGCCGGTGTCGGTACCGCCGAGAGAGCAGGCCCCGGCGCTGGGGACAGGTTGGTGCTGTCACGGGAGAGCCGCTGGTGGCCTCCTCAGCCGTACGCCTGGTAGCTTTAGCCCCACGCGCTGGTTTAGCGCGCTGTTGGCCGTGAAGATGGAAGCCGTTTCCCTGCGAGTTGAGAAGTGCAGGTTGAGTTTCTTACGGTGAGCTTTCGGGAAGACGTCCGGAGGGTTTGCGTCTCTTCCCCAAGAGAAAGCCAAAGAGGTGCCATCTGAGAAGTCTTCTAGAGCTGTTCAGGGCTGTTCGAGTTACGGGCTCTAACTCTGGGCTGGCTGCTCGTTCGCTTGCCGCTCGGAGCAAAGAGAGTGCTGGCCAGGTACAGCACAGAGTCACGAGCTGCTATAATCTCTTGAATTCTTTTCTTTCGCCAGGTAGGATGGTGCAGGTTTGGTTGTTTGCGGTTTGCTGATGGTCTTTGGATCAGGGCAAGCTGTCACTGCACAGCTTGGCACAGGGATGGGAAAAAGTTCTTGTCTAGGTCTGTATCTGAGAAGAAAAAACCTTCATCAGAAAGTAAAAGAAGATATTTTTAGTAACTGCCCTTAAGTGGACACCTCTGAGGTGTCTGCTAGGACCCTCATGCTTCAAACCATCGTGACAGTCTCAGCAGTCGGTTTCCTTTAGTGACGTTTCTTCAGAGTTTTCGTTCTGAGCGTGCTTCACTAAGAAGTAAGGTCTCTAAACTTCTGCAGACAGTCCTGTTTGAGAAGTGAACTATAACTTCCATTCCTTTCCTCCCAGCATCACTTGTGCCTGACAAGAACTGAGCTGCTCCCTGTGCCCTTGCTTCCTTCAGACTTTGTAGCCGTGTGATGTCTTTGTAAGAAAGCTTGCCTTGGGTAGTAGTATTGTAAGCTTCTCTCACAAGCTTATCCGTGAATTTCTGCTGAAGAGAGTAGTCAGTAGATGAACTCTTTGTGGTTCCAGCAGGGAGAAGAAAGCAGAAGGAAAGGGGATATTTCCTGGGAAGGAGCAGAACCTTCTCAGTGTGCATAGCCACTTGTAGTATCACAGGTACATTAATAGCAATTTCAATCAGTAGGGTAGAGGCTGCCGGTAAGAGGCATAGAGCAAGATATCTACTTGTAGCTCTGGAGAGATGTATCGGCATGGTTTTGTGCTGTTGCCTGCTCAACTGGTAACCTGAGATGGGATTAACAAGTGTGTTGCTGCAGCTGATTAGGTGCTGCTAACATTGGCAAGGTCTGTACTGATCAACATGGGAAGGCTGGGGATAATTTGGATATAGGGAGCTTGCTGATGCTGGAAAACGTTTCCATGAGCCTGAGCTACTTCATTTCATGGACTTAATGGCTATTGACACAGAACACAATTATTTGCCTCCTGTGTCCAGAAGGACCTACATCTGCTTAGGTCTTTACGTTGCTCCTGGAAGTGCAGGAACCTTGGTATAAAGATTGTCCCATGTTCATTCAAGTGCTCACTTGTACAAGAGCCCTCTGAGCTGTCATCAGGGCCTTCTCAGTTGAATATTCCTGGCAGTGGAACTTGGTCTCATCCAATGCTGAACAAGCTTAGGGTGGGATGCCAGAGGCATGTATTTGGATTAAAGTGGGGTTTTTTTTTTTGTGTTACCGACAAATGGAAAGATTGTTGTGTTACTGATGCTTGCACAAATGTTAGTTCTGTAATGCTGTCTGTTGTGGGTGGCTTATTGCTGCTATGGTGCTACGTTTTCTTAAGTCATGACTCTTCAGTGCTCTGTGTATCGTGCATCCAACGCTTGCCTTGTGTATCCCTTCAGACATACCACCAGGGCGGCAAGAGAGGACTATGTATTTCAGTGCTAGCATGTTTGTGCTTTTTGACTTTTCTCTGCCACCATCTTCCCTCTTTTATAGAGGAGGGTAATGCTACTGGGTTGTCTTGTTATCTTGTCCCCTTGCGTTGGTTTTTCACTAGCGGAGGGTGAATGCTACAGTGGTGGCTTCAAACCTTGTGTCTTTTTAATGGAGCTTGTTTTTTATAAAAAGAACAGCAAGAATTGGGTTCTGGTTTTGGTTCTGCTGCAGGTTTTGATGATAATCTGTTTTTGTGTATGCTTTTATTTTAACCCTCCCCCCCCCAAAAAAAAAAAAAAACAGGCTAATGCTCACTGCAGCAGTGGTGAGAAGCAGTGGTGAGATTCCTTTAACAACGTAAAATTATGAGGAGATTCCAGACAGAAGTGTACTGAAATGTCTCGAGTACTGTTGTTTTCATTGTTCCCCCCCCCCCCCCCCCCCCCCGCATTTTTTTTAATTATTTACAGGGAATGGCAACAATTGCACAGAGGTTTTGCTTGTTTAATTTTCTCCTTCCTCCCCGGACGGAAACTATAACTCTTCCCATAGATTCCCTTCAAATGCTCTCTAGCTTCCTTTTGCTTTCTTGCGCTGTTTGCTTACTGTTACTTTCCAAACCCCTTGATACTCCTGTCTCTGTGGTGATAATGGGTGGAGTCTCAGCTCCGCGTGTGATGCTTGCAGGAGCAAATGTGAACTAATACACCCAGAGAGCCTTGGCCAAGCCACCCTGTGCTTGGTTTCCAGCAGCAGGAGAGCATGTGGCCATTACCTAGGGCACCAGCTGCCTCTCTGCCTGTGCTCGCTTACTTCTTCTGGCAGTCAGAGCTGCCTCATATTTTCTCCATGAAATGCAGATAGGCTTGTACTGCAGTGGGTCTTCTCCACAGACAGTATAGTGTTAGTTTTTAAAAAAAAAAAAAAAAAAAAAAAAGAGGAGGAGGAGAAGAAAAGGTCAGTACTTGTACAGTACAAGAGGCTATTAGCTAGAAGGGCTTCCTTACCTGTTCTCCCTGCAAGACACTGTTATATATGTAGTTACATAGTTATTCTTGCCTAATATATTTGTATACTTTGTCCACCTTTTCTTTTTTTTTTTTTTTTTAGTAAGGCCTAGCATAACTACAGAAAACTGTGAAAAAGAAACTATTTGGAGCAGCAGTCTGTGGACCTTTCTGCTGCCACGTTTTCTGGCAACTGTGATGGTGGTGGTGGGGTGAGGAGGGTTCTGCATTGTTTCCACTGTACAATTTTATTTCCCCTTACCCAGATTAGCAAGACATCTACAAAAAGAGGCCCAATCTCAACACAACAACTCAGAATTCACAGAAGATCAAAAGGTATGTATTAGTGTTTGCTCAGTCAAGGGGCTTGACTCCTCCGTAGATGTCAATGTGTATTATGGTTCTTTGTATCTCTCAGACCTGAATGTTAGAAGACGTTTTTCTCCTCCCTCAATGTACAAAGGGAAACAGAGCCTAGCATGGCTGAAATGGTTGCTATCATTAGATGTGACAGATGCTATGCTGTGTGATATTGAATGTCTTGCAGGCTGGCCGGAGTCTTTCGTAACCTGGGTTTTTCTTTTTTTGGGTGACCTCTTGATAACTTGCTTATACAACGTTAGCACAATTTATGATGTGAAGTCTGAATACAAAATGTCTTGAACCGCAGACATCCAGGGTGTGCGTGGAGGATGTTAGCTTAACACATAACACCTGACTGGGAAGGGTCCTGGCAGAAGACTCCCTATGAGTCCCTTAGAATGTTTTTTGTTTATAGTCTTTCAAAATATTCAAGTGACTTTAGTCCTTCCTCCCTCCCTCAGCTGAAAAGGCTGTTTCTTGTCTCAGCATCAAATTGATGCAATTCTGTGACAGGATTTAAGAGGAAAATGCTGGTTGAGTTCTCACACACTCAAGCATCTTCAGTATAATAAAACAAAATCTTTTGAGAAATGAGGTCCTGGTAAGTTTTAGTATCTTGCATAAAGGCATGTTTTTCTGAGGAATACCTGGCTGGAAAATGCCCGTGTTTCCAGACTTCTGAATAAGATCACTTGGTTGAACAATGCCATTAATTGAAGAGTGACATTTTCTGGCCCCGAATCCCAGATATCATAATAAGGTGTTACAGTAATGGGATGTGTGTTGTGCAATATCTGCTCTGAAAACAGGTCCTGGCTACAGAAATTGGAGATGAACTTAATGTGTTTAAAAAACTCATCTGCCACAAAGAAATATACCTTTACATCGAGTCTGACAGTGGTTTCTAACTGTTTCCTTGGCATGTACCAATAAAAAAGCAAAGAACGGGCCGTCCAGGTGCTACTTCCCTTTTGCAGAGAGGAAGATTAGAGCCAGGATGTACCTAAAGAATCATAATCTTGGAGAAAGATTGGGATCACCTTTCCTGAACTCAGGGTTTGGGAGCTTTGTTAACACAGAACATCTGTTCGTTCTTTGGTTGCTTCTGCTCCCCCCCCCCCCCCGCCCCACTGATACCTTCCTTCATAGTTATCAGCTATAGTGATTTTTACTGCCCCGTGGATGCTTTTGAAAGTGCGATTACTTCATGAAGAAGAAGCTGTTAATGTCACTTTTGGAGGCATCATCTCCTGTGAGTATGGGAACCAGAACCATGCTGGGCTTTGCTTCCAGATGTTCCTTGAATCTGGTGGAAAGGATCTTGGAAGTGAGGTCAGCCATGAGGGAAGGCCTGGGAGGCTCAGGAAGCAGAGGTAACTGACCTCCGATGTGAGATGCACAACCGTGAGCTTTTGTTAAGGCGACAGTCTTCTGAAAAGAAAAAATGAAGAGTGGTTGTTTTTAATGCCTGCAGAGTGATACCTGTTTCCAAAGCTGATACAGCTTACAGAAGAGGTTGACATATTGAAATGTATCATTTGCTTTTTGGCAGATCAGAAAGGGGCGGATGCACCTGAATTTCAAAGAGCCTGTCATTTGAGCCTCGTTCTCAAGTAGCGGTGCCTGTTTTGTTCACCACACACACAGCCAAACTCCCCAACTTTTTGTGATGTGTTTAAGTAACAGCATTCTCTTTCTCTCTCCTACCAAGAGTAATACTAGTCACAGCAAAAATGAGTCCTGTTGTTGTTTACAAAGAAGCGCTTAAAAGTCTTTGTATAGCAAAATCTTTTAGTCTGACATTAAGCTTCTTACTGTTCTGGTCTTCCTTATTTCTGCAGGAGTTGGGCTGATATAATCTGGTGATCATGAGCAATTACTAGCAGCGTTCAGTCGGCGTGTAGGGATAGAGTTTAGCGCACTTTTTTCCCCAGGTTTTCAAGCATTGTAGTTGAATAGGAGCATATTTTCTCTCTCCTCACCTCTCAAAAATCCAAATACTGAAACAGCTTCTTTTGCTCATAATAACTAGTAAAATATCAAGTCAAGTACTCAGAAGCATTCCCTAATTTCTTGTCACTTTCCAGGTACTGTTTGTCATAGGAGAGCCACCTCTTTATTTTTCTGAATGCAGATTAGTATGTTCATTTCAGTGTTTGTGCATCTGATTTCACTGGCTCAGACTGAGCACAGAATTTCATGGATTGAGGAAGGGGGAAGGCAAGATCGTGAAGCTAATTATAATCCCGTCAGTCTACTCTCATCGTAGTCTCTATGCAGATTTACAGCTAGCTGTTTCCTAAAGCGCGATTCACACTGTTGAGAATTACTGTGAGGTTGTCATTGATTCTTACCTGATGTACCACGTGTAGAAGATGGACTTAAGCAGATTCATCTGTACCAAGGAAAAACCACCGTCTTTACAGCTGTGGGAAAAGGAGAAGGTTAGGTTCAAATTCTCAGCCCTGTCTCTCTGTATAAGATTTTAACAGGTTAGCATTATTTCATGTATCACAGGTGGTGTTACTGTGCAGCTTATAGCCACATCATAGTTGATGGTGTATTGCTTGCTAATTTAGTCATGCAATCTGTTAATCCAGCAACGCTTGAGAGATGCACCAAATTCCTTCATAGGTGTACATGAACCAGTTATCATTTAGCATTCAGTAAACGTATAGCTCACGATAAAAATGTAAACTTTTCCTCCATTTTACCTTTTTGCAATTGATCTGAAGACTCTGTTTTGAAACACTGTACCCTACTCCATTTGATAGGGAGACTGGTCTCCAGAATGCAGTGTTCGTTCCTGCATTCTCAGCTTATGGGGGCTTGTCCGTCTTCTTATATCTACTGCTGGACATAATTCTGGAGTTTTAGCCCTTAGGGAAGATGCTGTCATGACTTGGATAACTGACAACGTTGAAATCTTCATTAATGATTATGAACTTGGTTGGAGACTGCACAGAAATACTGTAAATAACAAATCGTCGTTTGTGTTTAAATGTAGTCACTCTGCAATGGTTTTAAGGAAGCTGTGCAACACTTTCATCGCCTAAAAGCTCCCTGTATGGGATATTAGCAGAAGATTGTTACTGGCAGACTTACCCCAGCCTTAACATCTGCATCCCACCTTTCTTCATTTTACTTTCATTCTCTGAAACCCTCTCCTCATTCATGATCACCCATTGTATTTTGCTATGTGAATTGATCTGCTTAGATTTGGCAGTGGCTGTCTGCTTGCCTCCAGCTATAGTTATTCTCACCCGGTGCTCCACACAATGAATGTGACCTTTCAACCCCTCTGCTAACCACAATTGTTGCTTCTCGTATAACTCTTCTGTGCTAAGCTAGTATTAAAAAATCATGCGTTTTGTGCAATGGCAGCTTGCTGAAATAACAGCATTGTTGTACAGTCTTAGTATGATTCATTAAACTACTGGTCTGCTAACAGCCTAGACCTCTCTTTAAAGCCAAACTCTGCTCTGGCTCTGTATTTATGCAAACATCTTTGACTGCGTTACAGTCATTACTCACACAACTGCACAGAAGAAACCTTGACTACAAGATCGACTGACTTTTTCCCTTTCTAATCACTAGTTTGCATAAAACTGGATCTTAACTACTTTAAGCTAGCAAAGTTAATTATAACTTCAGTCCTTCTAATGAAATGCAGAATGTTTTCCCTGCTGGAAAAAGGAGCCCTTGCATGGGATAGTTGCAGCTGAAAATGATAGCAGTGTTTAGCTGCATTTTTAACTTTTGGATTGGGTGTGGTCCCTTAAAAAAATAGTTATGAATAATGCCTGCTGGGAGCTTGCCATATTTCAATAGATTCCATATAAAACCTATTCTTTACTATTTTAAGACTCCCAAATTCTTTTCAATTAATCTATTTCTAGAGCCATTATTGCCCTTCAGCCCCCAGGAGTCAAAGGACACACATTTTGTGTAGTTGTCAGTCCTATTAGGAGGTTCCTAGTTCAGGCAATTTTAAGAATACAGAGTTAAGAATCTGCAGGATGGGGGACAGTGGCTTTGCTGCACTTATCAGTGGATTAACAACAGAGACAGGATCCGAGCAGCATTTCTTGAGACTTCATTCACAGTGTGGTCTTAATGCTCTGTGTGAGAGACGGTGAGAGGAAGAGCAGTGTAAAACTGTTTGCATGTTCTGACTCCATTGTGGGGCACTCGGACTGTTTGCTAGCACCCTGCAAGCTTTGAGCCCTCTCTCTGCAGTGCAGTTGGGGAGGTTGTGATCTAACATGGAATTGGCATGCTCTTTGCTCGGCAGTCAACACCCAAACCATAGGAACAGCTGGCTTTTTGCAAATGTTAGAGATCGTAGTCCAACTTCAGAGATTTCCCCTCCCTTCCCGAGGGAGCCTCTGTGGATTCCTCTTTTTTACCCATTACTTCACACCTTCCTCTTCTTTGAGGCTCTACCTTTGCAAACATATCTTCCAGATGTTTTCAAATATAAGAAGGATTTTTTTTCGTGTTATGCTGCAGCTGATTAGAAGGATCCAGTGCATTTGCTCCCTAGGCCCTGAGAATCTGCTTCTGAAGTCCTACCTGGTGTCTTCCCACAAAGCCCCAATCCACAAATCCCATGTGTGAAATGTGGATCTGAAGGCGTCAAAATGAATCCAGGACTGTATATGCTCCTTTCCTTTTCAAAAATCTATATCTTCTCCAACTATGCTGGAGATCCAGCTATGGATCTCTGTTATGTAGCAGAAGTTATTCCAGGGAGACAGAGGTTTGTTGACTGGACCTAGATTGTAAAATGAACCTCCACAGAAATGAAAAGCCATAGTATTTTTTACTCTGCCGTGTTGCATATAAACACACAGTCGTGTTGCTCTGTATTAAAATTCCCAAACAACACGCTGCTGCACACACGGCATCCCAGGGAGAGGAGAGAACAATGCGTGTCCTGTGCTAAGACCCATTGCTCACTGCGTTCCTGGAAAGCACTCAGAGGAACTGAAATTTTATGTAGGACCTCCATGTAATGGACAGTAATGTAAACTGCAAGGATGCAAAGTCTGGATTAATGCCATGTTGTGATAGAGTGTTTAAAACCAGAGGAGATACCAGCTGGGGAGAAATGGCTTCGAAAGCTTTGATGGGCCTGTGGTGGCAGATGAAAATCAGGTATCTGAGGCTTTTACAGACTCCAGCTGTTGACTTTGCCCGTGAGGTATTGATGTCTGCTCTGCTCATGAATCAGCTCCTGAACTCTTTCAACTTTCAGTGAGGCCTAAGGTAAACTGAAACTGGAGCCTCTTTGCTTTCAGCCCTGTGCATTGAAAGTAATGGCGGCCAAGGGGTTGATTTAGACACAATTTGGACATGCTGGTGCAGGAGAGTCAGTGCAGAAGACTGGGGAAGTTAGCTGTGAAAGCAGGCCCGTTGTTTTTATCTGCTGCTGCAAGTCTCTTGGAGGCCTAACGTCACCCTTCCTTTAAAACGACGTTTTGGCTTTTGACTGATACCACGGAGTTTGCCAGGTGCCCGTACTCTTGAAGTTCTTTGATGCTGGAGTTGCTCACTAGGCCGTCTTTTGCTCCCCCTTGCATGCAGCTTAGAGAGAGAGCTGTTTTTTTGATACTGCCTAATTTAAAAGAAGAGAATGAGTTACAGGTGCTTACTTCAGCTTTTATCTTCCTACTGGGGGAAAACTTACTTTGAAAATAAACTGCTTTTTAAAAAAAAAAAAAAAAGCTGAGTTATTGCCATTTTTCATCCCCTGTGAATGTTCTGTAAAAGAGTTGGATTTTTGTTTGGCCTCACCTAGGCAGACGGACTTACTTTTTTTCCGCTAAAACCTTTTAGTTGATAAATAAACTTGTGATGCTTAAGCAAGATAAAATTTACTGTGCCGTTGTGTCCGTTTGATGTGAATTACAGACATCTTAATTCCTCCAGACGTTTTTCAGTTGGTAGTAGCAGAAACTAATTTGACTGCTGCTTGAGCTTCTTATTTTGTGAGACATAAGAACTTCAGTAGCATTGTCCTCAAAGTAGACTGCTAGAGAATGGCTATATTAAAGCCCTTCCCTTTCTTCTATGTTTTTAAATGCAAACACAAAGTCACAGTTCTGCTAAGAGATGTTTTAGATGGCTGACAAGTTTCAATCAAAGAAAATCTATTTTATAGTTCATTCAGAGTTTAAATGTCTTTGCAATTTAGAAAAATAGAACATTAGAAAATTAGCCCCTTTTGTATTTCCTTCCCCACCAAACCACACAAGTGGACTGTATTTTTTCAATGCTGAGATACTGGGCATTCATAACTTCTGAGGAGGGCTGACTTGGTCTGCTAGCACTGTGAACTAGATAAATGAACTGTAGGCATGATTCCTAAAAGGGCAAATAGAACAAACCACTAAAGTGCTCTAAAGCTAATATAGGGGCTTGGGTTTTTTTTTTTTCCTCTCTTTTCTTTTTGGCTCTCTCCTATCACTTCAGAGTGGTTGAATTTATAAACAGTTTATGATGTGGTAGGCATTATTACGGTTTCTGCTGAGTGAACAACTCCCATCTGTGCTGATGAACCATGGGGAAGGGAGTTCAATGGCAGATGTTTCGATTTCATCTATTGCACTTTCAGTAAATCTTGAGTGTGTATAAAAAAGCTTTTGATGCTGAATGATCTGATACTGAATAATAGATTTGAAATCTTTGCAGGAAAAACCAATTGTTCATAGTTATATCTTTTTAAGAAAAGAATGTCAATATGGACAAATGCAATATCAGTATTAAATTGTTTCCTCTTTTTCTCCCTTTCAGAAAACCATAGCTAAAATTGCAACATGCTTGGAACTGAGAAGTGCGGCTTTACAGGTATAGCTCTTTTTCCCATGTGATTTCACACTTCAGTGATGGACAGCTGTAGTGCTTTTTTTAGCTAGTTTAATGTCTTTAGACATAGCCAAAACTTCTGAGAACACAATGAATGACCCCTTTAATGCTTGCGCTTTCCAGGTTGTCAAGATAATACCCCAGGTAGCTGCCTGAAAACCTTTGAGTGCTTATAGGAGCATGTGTTAGAGTTTGTACAGGAATGAAACTGTAGGGTTTGTGCCTCTGGTTCCTTGTCTCATTTTCCTCCTGCAGAACTGATTAGTTTCTCTGCCTAACCTGTGTGCAAGAGAAGGAAGATCCTTGGAGTGACCCTTGCACTAGTCCAGCCACTTCACAAGTCATAATAGAACACAAGGAAGAGTGTGTGTGCAGAATGAAAACGGCTCTGTAGCCATCATGAAAGTTGGCAACAGCAGTAGAGATGTGTGTAACAATAACTGTTTAGAAGCTGTTCTTTGGGCTTTTTTATGGATTGAAGGTAGATGCCATGGAGGTGAATTTCTCTTCTGTACAATCTTATCACCAAAAAAAAAGAGAGAGAGAGAGAGAGAGGGGATTTTTCCAAAAGAGGGTGGATAGGGGAGAGATGAACCATGCCAAAGTGTGGTAGCTTGGGTTACTATATTAGTTCTTTCCCAATGAAGGGTAGTGACAGGCAAACTTTGCACCGAGTTGCTTACAGCAGCACCTCTGACTACTTCACGTTGCTGTACAAGGTATAGCAGCTCCAGTTGTGTATGAGGCTGGGGAAGAGTGAACATTTAAGCAGCAGGCTCAAGCTGGACTAATGGGGGGGAGGCTGACCAGTCCGGATGCTGAGCAGCATTCAACAAGTTTTTTAATTGGCTCCAACTGTCTTTCTATTTTGATCCAACCTGGGGCCTTTGAATAGTGGTACGTTTGTTCTGAGTCACAGCGGTTTTGTGACGAGGGAAGAATCTCCGTTGTGAGACAGTTTGGTAAGTCAGGTCACTTAGAGCAACAGCAGATAATGCTGAAACATCCTCAGCTGCTAAACTGAAGAGACCCCCATCTCACAAGAACGGCCTTCCTTGTTGTAGCTTCATTCAGGGGTTTATAACCTGGTTAATGATGGTTTTGTTTGTTTGGGGTTTTTTTCTTTTTGTCTTTTGGGGGTTTTGAGTTTTTCGTTTGTTTTTTTTAAGTAAGATGAAATGGAAGCCCCCCCGACCATTTGAGGAGAATAAAAAAGATCTTGTTTGTTTTTGGTGACACTGGGTTTTCCTGACTCACCCAGTTGAGGCTTACGCCGAGCGAGTCACTCTTTTCTCAGCAGTAACTCAGGAATTTTATAACCTGTGAGGATACTAGAACTTGTCATCCACCTCACTTCGAGAAGCATTTTTACATGCTGCAGTTTTGTTACAGTTTCTTAGCAGGGTTAATGAGTGTGGTCATCTTTTACTGTTCTTCTAACAGTATGGGTACGTTCACTGTCCTGCAGTCCTCTGTGGTGTCTTGTTGACACTTGAGCAAGATCAAGAGAACTGTCAGGCCTTAAAGAAGTATTGAAAACAAAAGGTAATCCAAAAATATGCTGAGGGTGCGATGGGACAATAGGTAGTCCTCCGCCAAAAAGAGGAAGTCCAGTGTCACCCCTCTTATTTGCACCATTTTTATTGTGCTATATCTGCCACTCATCATCTTGGAATAGGCGGGTTCGGCTCTCCAAACTGGCAGTGAACTAATTCAGAAGAAAAAGTTAATAACTTCTCTGTAAAGTTAGTAAGTTTAATAGGCTTATTGAGAGATGCAGACCAGGGTCCTAGCCAGATGGGGAAACTTCATGGTCAGGGCTGGAGAAGGGAGAGACGGTTCCTCTTCCATTCCTCTTAGGTCAGCTGAATTTTTTGTCAAACTCACCCAGAATATGCTAATTTCTGCCACGGTTACAGCGTTGGAAGTATTTCTTCAACGACTACTGGAGCATCACTTTGCAATCTTAGAGCTTATCTTGCTTCAGGTTGGGGAAGAATTAAAACAAGTCCCTCTATCTCAATGTTCTCATGTGTAGTGAGTACAAAAGATCAACTAGTTACTTTAAAGATATTTATCCTGTGTTAGAGCTTGGAATTTGGGATAAATTTGTTGTCAATACATGAGAAGTAACATCCTTTCTGCCTCATCTGTGAACCTAGCCTCTGTTGGGGAGTGTTTTGTTTGGGATTTTTTGATGACATAGCTTTAAAGTAACTTGGTATACTTGAACTAAGGACATGCCTTACATGCTTGTTATGAGATATGTCTAGGGGTGGGGGGAAGTACATATCAAGTTCTCACTCTTTCTTTGTAATATCCTAGTCCACACAGTCGCAGGATGAATTTAAGCTTGAGGATCTGAAGAAGTTGGAACCAAGTAAGTAGTATCTTTGTATTTTAAGTGAGTGACGTTTATCATTACAGTGGAAAATCTGACAGCAGCATGAATACTGACTGACCACAGTGTGGTTGGCCGGTAATGCTGTTTTTAGGTGGTTCTTCCAAATCTCTGCTACCACATAGACAAAAACTTGACATGCCTTAAGGAGTGTAATACGGGTATCTTTGAAGTCCTAATGTTTCAGATAATGTATTATTATTTTTTCTCTAACCTGAGTAGTTCTTTGGATGCTAATTTTGCAGAGAATAGTAATTTAAGCTATCAGTACTGTAGTGTATAATCAGAAGAAATCTAAGAAGTTTGAACGTTTACCTCCGTATTATTTATTTGAACTTCAACACTTTGCGGTCTTCCTACTTGCAACATCACGTGTGTTTTTCTTTTAAAAACATTTAGTATGTGCTCATGGTAAGGCAATCACCTGTCACCTACCACAGTGATGCTGTTAGACTAATGAAGTTAGAGTCAAACTAAGGATGTGAGTCAGTCCTTGGAGGGTTTTTTTTTCCCAGCTGATCCTGGATCTGTTTTTGGTATGTCAATCCAGAAATAACTTTCTTGTAGGAAATGCATTTATCTGCTACATTTTCCTTCTGGTAACACTGGCTGTTTTATTTTCAAAGCATCCTTGTGATCAGATCTTCCACATCTAAACAACATTATCCTGAATGCTACAGTTTCTTCTATCCTTGTGGAACAGGAAATGTGGAAGAGCTTCTTTCATGCTGGAAAAAGCTGGTTCTATTTCGCTCCTGTCACAATTGTGCCGTTTAGGGGAATTTTGAGAATAAACATTGTGGGTAGGCAAGTGTTGCTGTGCCCACTTCATGGAGAGCGTCTTTGCGCTCCCATTCTCCAAGTAGCACAAGATCCTATGGGAAGCTTATGGTGAGGCAGGACATTGAATTGAGGTTCCTAATGTCTCTACCAAAATACAGAATCCAAATGCATTGAAATTGTTCCCCAAAATGGAAAGTGAAGGTACATAACAAGAGCGCTATGTCTACGAAGACCATAAACTCAGGAAAGGATTTAAGTATATATTGAAAGTATTATTTCTTTCTTCTGCTGCATATTGTGTGTCTGGAATCTGCATCCTCTAATTCACGATTATTTCATACCTGAAACCTAGGTACTCCTACTCTCTGTATATAAAGTATTTAAAATGTTGCGCTCATTTCCTGCCCATGAATTTTAGACTCTGGTATGCAAGTAGCCCATGAGTGACTACATGAGGGGAAAGGGAGAGGAATCGTATTTTAATTGAATCAAACTATTCCACAAACAAAAGGAAGTGAATATTGAAGGATTTAGCCAAAATTTGCGTCCTGCCTGGAAGACTTAATGCCTTCCTTGAAATGCCTCCTTTTCTTAAAAGGCGAAGTTTCAATTTACAGTGTAACAGTCCTGTTCCTTATCTCACCCTTCCTTAGGGAATTGATTTTTAGCTGTCAAAAAACCGTTCACCAGTGTGAACAACACTTAGCCCACTCTTCGTACAACAAGCAACTGTATTAAAACTGAGGGACTGTGTGTGGCCATCAGTCTTTAAAAACATTGAGTTATTTTCCTTGGATGAGAATGGGTAGAATTGGTGCTTCTACAGCAACGAGTGAATGTTGCAGTTCTTCATGTTGCTGTCTGACTTGGATTGTTCTGATAATGCATTGGCCTGTTTCTCTCTGAACTGTGCCTTTGTTTTGTGGTTTTTAAGAATATCTTGTTGAATAGATTAAAAATCAGGCCAAGCCCAAGCATTTCATGAAATATGTTAGGAAGTGTTTTAATTTAGCATTTTCTTGATTTCCTCTTGTATCCCACCAAAATAGGCTAAAAACTCTGGACTGGCAACGCTAATAAGTGATTCTTCCCTTAGACCAAGTCAGTCTGTTAGGATGGAATGAAAACAGCTCTTCACATAATATGGGCTGTTTTACTTTTATGTGTGAAATTTTCAAAACGGCTGAGAAATTTGGTTTTGGTGGTGTTATAACAAACAAGACCCTTAGATTTATCCTCTTTTTTTTTTTTTTTTTTCCTCTGTTGTGAAGTTCTAACACGTTTCCTTCTTGTTAAGCTTGCATTTCACGCTGCATGTGAAGTAAAACAGTAGGCTGGTTTTGTTTGTTTGTAGGATTTGTCCCTGAATCTTTCGTGTTGGAATAATGCTGTAGGAAGGTCCATACAAATAGTTCTCTTGCGAATACACTATGTGAAATCATTACTAGCACGCTGGATCTTGCAAATCCTTTTCTTGTGACAGCTTATCCCGGTGTTAATACACATAAAAATAGATAGGCTGTGATATCTTGTACATCAGAATTGGCTTTGGTGTGCAAATAGGATGAAGTGGATCAGGCAGTGTTCTGGCTGAAAACCGGTGTTATTTGCTGGGTCAGTTTGGTGACCTGCGTGGGAGTTACAGCTTGGCGAGAGCGTAGTTGGGAGCATGCGTTCACAGTGAGGATAGGACTGTCCCTCCCGCAGCAGCCCCCACTTAAAAAGTCATATTATAATTGCTATGAACCAACTTAAGTGCCTGTGTTCATACGTGTGATAATTCTAGCCAAGAGTGGCCAGTTCCAAAGCTCTTAGTTTGTGTGCATTGCGAGGGGAGTAGGTACTGGGTTGTACTGGGGAATTTGATGTCTGAATTGATTTGTGTATCAACTATGTAAAACGATATTCAGTACAGGTGTATATCATAGGTTGTCACAAAAACAAATTTAGAATTTAAATTTAAAAGTGGTCTTTACCAAGAAGTGCTAAGTGGTCTTACTGCTCATGCTGATATTCTCATTTGAAATCTTTCAAGAAAAAAAACAGTGTGGTAGTGCCCAACACCACAAAAGAAATGTCACTCTTGAAGAGGCAGCTTCTGCATATAAGCCTGCTGAAGCGTCTTTAAAAAAAAGACTTCTCCTGGGAAAACGCACATAGATTCAGGACGCACTCCTGGAGATCTGCCTTTTAGTTCTGAATTCTGAGTTAGCGACATGGAGAGCTTTGTGCGGGTCGTGCTCTCAGCAGCAGCGTTATCGAGGGGAAGTGCTCTTTCCTCAAGAGATGTGTGCTAAAACAAAACAAAAAAGCGGCTCATAAGTTTGGACGTCTTACGCAGTGTTTCAAGGGAGAGTCTGGCGCATTATAACCTAGCGTTTGTCCTGTATCTGGTTATTTTGTTTTAAAAAACTGAAGTTCCAGATGTGATAGGTGAAAGAGGGTTCTCTTTTCCCCCTAAGAGCTCTTGTTACATTGCGTTTGTATTGGTTAGCTTTATCCTTAATGACTTTGAATAAGTATTTCATCAGACTGAAGGCTGCAGATACAGTACTTGTCCCTGATTACCCAAGTTTGAGGAGCATATTTAATAAATCCCAGTAGTAAGACTTTGCAAAATTATTCTCTATTGCTGATTAAACAGGGTGTGCACACGTAGCACTGAGTTCAGACGACGACAAGCTCTCGGCACTGAAGCTGTTTGCCCTTTTCTCTGTGGCACTCGTGTCATGTCGGTAGAATATTTTGTGCCCTCTAGTGATGACTGGCGTGAATTACTGGAAGGCTTTTTCGGAGGATGTTCGTTCACGTAGCTAGAGAAACCGCTCGCTGGCAGCAGCGAAGAGTCTCGCGCGTAGCGGGCCTGCGAGAGGTGGGAGAACCCCTGTAACTGACCTTGCTGCTTTAGAATCTGCCTGTGCTCTGTAGGAGGTTTTCCTTTTCGGAGATTTTTCTCTTTGGGGTATAGTTTCACTTTCCTTCTCTGGCGTGATGCAGCACTCCAAGACTAGGGGAATTCTGAGAGTAATAAAAATCCCCTTTTTTTCCTGAACCTCAGCTGTACTCCAAAGTTGTCACCTGCTATTAATCAACTGCCTTCCTTTTGGAAGGTGGCTGTGATTCTTCACCAGCATACTGAGATCTCCACTGATGGTCCCTCAGGGCAGACGTCCCTGGAGAGGGAGAGGTTTGGTGTTTTTAAATTTGCCATCAGTTCTGTCTGTCACATCTCTGACTGAATGGAGCTTAAAGCTTTCCGACTGGACACAGTACACGGATATACAGAATTAAGCAGTTACCTGGCCTCTCACATGGTGATACAGAAGTCAGAAAAAATCAGAATGAACAAAGGCTGAAAAGATTTACTGATTTCTTCGTAGTTGCCCCACTTCTTCATAGTGGGGTTCTCTATTCACTATAGGATTTGGAAGGTGTCTTGTAAGTTCACGGCGAAGCCCACGTGGAGTGATGTGAATGTAAAGAAATACAGAGCAGCAGCTGAAGTGTCACATGCAGAGACTGAAGGGCCTAGCAGTCCTTGCTCAAATGTAACTGGCATTTCCATACCTCTGAATATTTGTATAATTTTAATGCTATTTAGAAACATTTTTGTTGTCATCCAGAAGGCATAAGGGGAGATTTCCAAAACCTGCTATGAGAGGGCTTATTACAAAGTGACACTCGGTGAGAGGACTTAGCTTTTTCCACTCCCTCTCCTTCCTGCCCATTCTCAGATACTCGTTGTCTGCCAGGAGACTGCCTCCCCTGCAAGCTCGCTCTCTTAATGTTTTTAGGTCCTTTAACCATCAAGGCTACAACAGAACTGTTGAAGTGAAAGTAGGCACATGACCCCTTTGGAAGTCATTAACAATTGAATATTAAACAGTCATTTGGCTTGAAACTAACCTGGTTTTTAACTGGCCCCTGATGTTCAAATTGGTATCAACATGCAAGTGAATATCTAGGTTTTAAAATCAGTATATGTATTTTCTGCTGCTTTTGTTTAGCATTTTGAAAGTTCTGCTTTCAGCACCTCTGGGTTTAAATACTTATTTCCTTTTTGTCTTTTTAGAAATATTACCTCTACTAGTTAATGCTTTTTGAAATACAAGCTAAATGTATGGTAACTAAAACTTGAGTAAGTTTCCTTTACAGAAGGCAAAGCTGAAATTCCAGCCGCTGGAGAGCGTAGCTGCTTTCTGTTGGCCTTAATGCTAACATACTGTACTGCATCTCTTCTGAGTGTTTCTAATTTGCCCAGACATCTGAGGGGAGGAAAAATCTGCACATGCATGAAAAAGTAGGAAATCTCAACTGAGTTATGTGTTACCAGCGTTCCTGGACTTCTACAGTTGCTGTTTGGATGCGCAGCCCAGATGTGTGCCTACGTGCGTTAGTTCTGGAGACTTCACTCTGTTTGGAGCTGATGCCAGTAACAGCATCACCCTCCTTTGAATGAATACCGAAGATTGCTACCGTTACCCCAGGGGCCTGTAGCTTTTCCTCACAATGCTTTTAGTTATCGCTGTGTTTATCTTCCCTGGCTGTGTAAATGTGGTAGTGATTATGTCCCGGAGTTGCACTTAGCCAGTTTGAATGCTATAGTGATATGGCTTTGACCAGGACTGTACTGATGTTTCAAACATGATGAGACAGATATTTTTGGCATGATCTGATGTGTTTTTGTGAAGATGCTGTGACAATGGACATAGCTGTGCAAAGTGGTGAAATTAATCCTGATTTATGGATATGGATTCTTAGTAGTTTTTTTTGGTTTTTTTTTTTTTTCCCTCTCTACAGTTGCAAAGAATATCCTCACTTATAATAAGGAGTTCCCCTTTGATGTTCAACCTGTCCCACTCAGGTAAGAGAGAGGACTGCATCACTGCATGTACAAATAAGTGTTTGAAAGGGAGCATGGTCTGATAACTAGTGTACGTCTGAGACATGAGAATTTCTAGAGCCACACACATGCTGAATTGCTTTTAGTAAACTGCAGTTTAAGCAAGAACTTTTGAATTCTGGTTATCTAGGTACCACCAAAAATTAAGCCCTTGCTCTTGGTAGTTGATAGGCCCATCGGTTTCTCTGAAGTTGCCTCTTTTTTTGTTTGCAAGCTCTCTGCTCTCTTTGTGTGCGCTAAGCTTCTGCAACCTCTCTCAGGGTCCATATCTACAAGAAGTAACTAATTAGAAGCATGAGATGATATTAAAGTATAATGCTTCATCTCTACACTGAGGTGCGGACTTGCGAGTTGAAAGCCAGATGATAGCTCACTATCTCTGGTCTCACTTTTCTTTTTCATATTTTACAGGAAGATTTTAGCACCTGGAGAAGAGGAACACTTGGAATTTGAGGAGGATGATGAGGAAGGAGGAGCTGGAGCAGGGTCTCCAGACTCTTTTCTTGCTAGAGTTCCAGGTAGGGGCACCAGCTGACATAGCATACTTAAGTTCTGTCTCTGAGAAGCCCCTTTCTCCACCTCTGGTTTGAAAAGTTTGAACAAGGAGCAACAAGCTAACGTAAACTCTAAGGACGTATAGGAGAACCATGAAGGTGGCTGGTGGTTTTTTTCCTCAACGAACCATTTCTTACTGCAAAACAGATAACCTGTGAGATGGTACCGTCTGCTTCAAGTAATTAATCTTTATTCCTTTTTCAAACTCAGTATTTTCATTTCATACACTTTCTTAACTGTATTATGTGAAGTGACTCAAAGGCATTCAGATATAAATTGTAGCAATGTTTGCTCCTGTAAGTAGCATCACCTCCTGCTACGAATGTGATAAGTTGTTGCTGCTCAGTTTTTTGTTGCATCATCTGGTGAGACAATAGCTTGGATTAAAGCCCAAGGGGGCTAGGGAGGGATAAGGATGGGTAGCGCTGGTTTTGCTAGCTTAAGTCCTTGTCCTCATGAAAGCGTTTGCAGAAATGATTGTACCTGTTGATTCTGCAGAAGTCTTCTCGTGGCTTCAACTTTTGACAATTTACTAGGTAACAGAGCAAAACTTTTCAGTGGAAGGTCTTTTGGTTCCGATCTAGTTTCTTTGCAGAAAAAATGACTTTCTAGTTTTAGAGCAGGCTGGCAAACTTCTGACTTCTGGAAAGCAATAACAAATAGGGAAACTAGTACTGGAATTATGGTTGAAAGAACTGGGGTGTAGCATTTCTTATACCTGAGGAAAACATGACCCTGTCCTTAGATGTGAGCCCATGGGTGCCACTGAATATTGTCCCTGTAGGCTACACTGATGTAGACATGCAGAGTCTACAGTTGTGTACAGTAAGCTCACAGATAGGCTGTAATACATTGTGGTATTTCATTACTGGCATTCTACTATCTTTATCTTTGTTATCTGTCACCATGAATCCATATGTGAAGATGCATTCTGTCTGTCCTGAGTACAGCATTTGTTGGAAATTTCATTTGGGCTTCCTCTGAGTACATGTATATTTTTCTCTAGTTATATTAATGTGCACAATTCTAGATTTTTGACTGGGATTCAGCATTAAATCCTACCGCTGCTGTTTGATGCTGACATCTCTAGGTAGCTAGATGGAGGTCAAGTTAGAGGAGGAACATATTTCTGGGTGGTTTTTTCTTTACCTTTCGGCACACTGGTTAGATAAGGTTCAAGGTGCGGGGGAAAAAGAGAGAGATCTTGAGTAGCTCACTGGAATGGTGGTGAATCAATAAGGCTGTGACCACTTACCATGGTGCCAACAGTTAACCTCTGTGCAACCTGTTGAAGCTATATGGATATAATAGACATGGTTCGGGGCTGTGTATGTGCTTAAGAAAGAATCAGAGTTGACTGTAGACAGGTTGAGTTTACAGTTAAATCCTGTTCTAAGAAGTAGGATATCCAAATCAGAGAGAAAAGAAGTTTGGGGCATTTTCTTACAGAATTACTCCTCATGATAATTCCATGCTTTAAGAGGAGGTGATAGTAATTCCTAAATTTACTGATGTGTTACATTGTAACCTACTTCATGAACTGCATATCCGTCTTTTCTGATTTTTTTTTTTTTTTTGCACTAAGATAAACTTTCCCATAGCTATGTTAAACTAAACCTCTGAGGTGGTTTTGTACTAGTTTGATACCACAGACCTTTTTTCCCTGTTGAATGTAAATTTTTGTATGGTTTTCTCAGATAATTGGATGTTGGGTTGTTGCTTTCTCTGGATGATGAGGCTTAAACAAAACAGTTTGCAGTCTTCTAAGCTGAGCCTTATAAGTCTAAGTGGACTTTCCATATTGAATTGATAGAACTGTGTTGCACTCTTTGCTTCTATATGCCTTTAATCCATAATGCATAACTGTATTGTCTAACTGACCATGGTCTTGTCTTCTACATGCATGGCTTCATCGTTATCACATTGCACCATTCATCTAACCCAGGAGCCAATGAAGGTATGATAACCTTTTAATACATACTGTAATTTCTTTGATCATGTTCATGTAGCTGTGACATCTTTCATTTAGCTCTTAATTTCAGCCCTCGAAATACAATCTCTGGTAACAGTCAAAGAACTGAGCATCTATTTGTTGATCTTTATGTGCCTCCTGTGCCAGAAAAAGGGAAGGCCATATTTTGTGACACACCTTACATAGTGCTCTAGAAGTCTTACTGTGCTAATAAAAACAGGCTGACTTGCAGTGTTGCAGAAGGTAGGCATACCTAGCTTTTATTTAGCGGAGTGCATATTTGATGGGAAATCTTACACTAAATGTACTCATGTACTTATGACCTCAGTCCTGTAAAGAGATGACCTGATCCAGTGGCAGGCAGCCCCTAACACAGAGGGTCTCCTGGTTGTGTACTCTTTTATTCCAGTGCTGTGCTGGCCACAGACTCCTTTGTGAGCCGTTTCCACGTTCTTTCCCCTTTTCCTGGTGAGCTGAACTGAGGGCTGGGGCTGGAGAGACAGGACACCTCTGTCTTGGTGGCAGTGAGCTGTTAGGTTGGCTCCTACAGGTGAAATGCACCTGGAGGAGGATGCTTATTTCATTTATAGGTGCCCTGTGCCTTCTCTGGTAATGACTCCCTGCCACTATGTCTGAAATGACTGACACTTCCCTAATGAAAAGCCTCAGTGTGAGCCTGCTAAAGGCTAATGGGCCCCAGCCATGATGGCAGACTGGCATTGCGATGGCCAGCCGTACTAAAGGTACCTCAGAGAGGTTACTGTCAGCTGATGTCTCCTGCGTGGAATGACTACAGAGTCAGCGAAAGACCTGCTGGGTGGCCACAGCTCACGGGAGATAGATGTATAGTCAGCTGCTATATTGCATTTCTCACTTGGCTGTTCCTCCAGCTGAAGTGGCAAAAAACCCACATTTCCTTAGAGACTGTGTGTCCTATTGTTCTCTCACCCACTGAAAGTGAGCTTGACTTTTCTGTTCATTACAACTCTGCAATTTCTGAAAAGCATTTTGCAAAGGTAGAATTTTTCTTAAGCTGATTTTTTTTGTTTGTTTTTAATAATAATAAAAGGCAAAATCTGATGCATCTGTTAGGTTATTTTACATGTCAAATATCCTATCACTTGGTCCCTTTCAGTGATGGACAGGAAACTGGAAGTTACAGCTGGTTATGACTCGTGGCTGGGCATGCTGCTCTTTGGAGATAACTGAAAAGTGTCAGAGCAAAATTTTGTGCCAAAGAGAAGACAGGCTTGCCTCTGCCTTCCATTAGGTTGAAATAACAACCCTGACTTTGAACATCTGTTCAAGAGATATATTTCAAAAAAAACTCAGTTCTCCAACTCTTCAAGAATATCAAGGGAAAAGAAGGATGAAGGAAATCCCTTTATGACTTGCTGAAGAAATATTATTTTTTTTTTTATTAGAAAAATCAAAACTTTAAGTGAAACTTGCTCATAAGTCTAAGCATTGGTCTTGGTGCTTATTCATCTAATACCAGAGACAGGCTTTAAGCAAGCCTGCCAACTTCTTCTAAAGTCACCATGAAGAAACTACCCCATTGCTGGTTACAGAATCCCACAGCTTTTAGTGGGCTTGTACAATTTGGATTTTTTGCGAGCTGCACTCTCTTCCTTAGTACTGCAAGGATTCACCTACACTGACATCAGCCAGTGACCACAAAGATTACCTGATGTTAAAGTCTCTTCATACAGAGCTAGTAACTCCTTCCTTAAAGCAGAAGGGAACTTGAGGGATGCAAAAACTATTTTCCTTCGCTTCCTTTAAGTCCATGCCATTGGAATTTAGATAATTAAGAGTCTCTCTTCTGGTTTCCTTTTGTCCAGTGGGATTTTCAACATCGCCGTTTTCCTTCTAATTCTTCCAGTCTAAATGCTCAACATGAGGCCAAGCCATGTTCCGTGGGGTGGTTACTCCTGATTAAGTGTCTGAACTTCCTGCAGCTGCAGATTGAATCCAGCCTCCCAAGTTTTATTCTTAAAAATGATGTACATTAAATTCCATGCATGAGTTATTTTGCATGACAGCCAGAAAGAATACTTAAACAATGTTCCACTCTGTTCTTAAGATATTACAGTTTTCTATGGATTTATTTAACTTGAGGCAGTCCTGAGGGTTCTTGGTGTGGGCTTTGAAATCTGTCAAATGGTGCTGTGTATCTGTGCACACAGACTTTCCCATAGTGCTGTGTACTATCAGGGTATGAATCCTTGGGCTTTGAACCCTCTCGGGAGAACAGCGTCTTCCATGAAAGATGATAAATAATAGGTGGAATAAGCAAGGCCTCTGCTGTAAGATTACTTAAGGGGTTAATAATATGCTTTACTCTTCCCAGGTACTTTATTACCCAGATTGCCGTCTGAACCCGGGATGACATTACTCACCATCAACATAGAGAAAATTGGTCTGAAAGATGCTGGGCAGTGCATTGATCCTTACATCACAGTCAGTGTAAAGGGTAATGATTGCTGTTCCTGGCTCCTTATTTCTGGTGTGGAGAAAGTGTGTTTTCTGAAAACTGTGTTGATTTTTAAACCTAAAGGGAAAAGTGTTTGTTGATACTTGCATCTTCTGTTGTGGACTTGCCGCTCTTATTTTAATCAAAGATAGGAAAATTCTATGTTTGAGAGAGACTGAGAGGGTGAATCTCCTCCTTGCTCTCTGCAGGAGCAACACTTGTCTTTGTACCCTGGGGTGCTTTTCCCAAGCTGGGAGCTGAGTATCAGTGACTTGGCAGATTGTACTTCTCTGTCTCGTGTTCTTCAGCTGACTCTGAAGAGCAGGTCCCTTTGGACTGCTTGTATTCCACAATACATATTGGTTTCTGGGTTTTCTGGAGACAGCACACCACCACCCACTGGCTCTATTTTTGTGCTGTCATTAAACCAGTTCTTTAGTAAAACAAAGATCTGCTTACCAAGGCTCAAGGTTCGGAGAAACAGAGGTAAAGTCAGGAAGCAAAGCTTATAAGCGAAATAAAACATAAAATGCGATTCCGCCTTGGCAGTGAAAAATCTCAGCCAAAGTCTGGTGGGCTAACAGTCTCCATGCCGATAGCCGCCATGAGTCTGGCAGAACCTCTCTCTGTCAGCCCAGAGTATGCAGCATCAAGTTTTCTCACTGTTTCAGATGGCCACATGGTTGATGGCTTTTGTTTGAGGCTGAGATTTTTGGTATTCTGAGTCTTTCTGCTGGGAGTATCTGGCTCTTCCCCATTTCTTAGCAGGAAGCTACTGTCAGGATTGCTTACCCTTAACCTGCCCTGCCTGACTCATGCTTATCTTTGCAATTTTTTGAGGTATATCATTTTTTGTTTATCAGATTAAAAAAAAATATGTGGCTGGGCCTACATCCTCTAATTATGTTTAGTTTTGATAGTGACTTTGTATGTATCCTCTTTAGATGTGCTATCGGATACTAACTATAGGGGTAAAATATTTGTTAGATGTGTAATCAGGCTGCTTCCTCTACCAGACAAGTTCTTTGGTGGAGATGAGGGTCACAGTATCTAATGTCACTTGAATCCCAGTGGTGCTTCAGATGCCACCTGACAAATATGTAGACAGAAAGCTTTATCTAATCCTGCTTCCTGTGATGATTTCTCAATAGTCAAACCTTCTGCTTCACTCTGAAGGTTTGAGTTGTTCACCTGGTTAGGGCAGAAGGCTGACACATGACTCTCATCTTCCCCAGCTGATATGCTTGTTCTTTTTATTTTCAGTCTGGGAAAAATGCAGTCTTTTTTTTTTTTTTTTATTTAATTGCTGTACGTTTGCAGCATTATTTTTAAATTGTCAAACTATTCTTCAGACCCCGTTTCTCTAGTCACTTTTGGATCTTTCTTTGCCCCCAGTATGCTAGAAAGCTGAGGGACAGGTGATTTCAGTGGCAAGACTAGCCAGATGGATGTAGGTTTAATCAAACGTAATTCTTTCATGTTGAATTTCCCTTGGCCAACAGGGAAATACCTGTGCTAAGGGGTTCTAACATTGAATCCTGGAACTTAATGGAATTTGTAAAGCAAGTGTTCAGTGTTCCTTTCCACTGAAGTGTTTGTCTTTCTTAACAAATATATATTTAAACTGTTGCTTGTCTTCAGAGCTAGCTTTCGTTTCCTTTCTGGAGCAGGTAACTCTGAAAAGTTGTTTTATCTGTGTTAAAAGAAGCCTCAAGATGCTTAGTAGTCGTTTTCCCAGCTGTCTTAGAGCAGGTCTGCTCTACTAATAGCTTGGAGGGAGGATTTCTGCATCACACAAGTGCATCGTTGGTGATCCTTGCCGGCTCCCTGAAAGAGGTGTGTTCAGGGGCACTTTGGGCCCTGGCCTGAGCCTGTACCCCAGGCACACTATGTCTGTTATGTACTTATAATCTTGACCGCAACATTAGCAGCTTGGCTCCACCTGAGGGAAAGGACACACTAGTGAGAGAGAAGGAGAGTAAGAGGACAAAATTGCACAAACGTGCTGGTGCAAACAGCAGAAATTTACCGAGAAACAGTATTGTTTGTTCCGGCTTGTGCCTGAGCAGCACAACCTGCAGCTGGTGCCGACAGCAGGATCCGAACCCACGGGCCCCCGTCCCTCTGCCTGCGAGCAGCCAAGATAAGTAATGCACACTGTGCCCAGGCAGCAAACCAGAGGGGGCTGCAATGACTGCAGCTTGTGCGCAAGCTGTGCTATCCATGCCGCGCAGATCCTGTGTGGAGGGGAGGCCCGTGGTGCCTATCCCTTCCTGCCTGTTCAGCGGCAATTCTGAAGCCCTGCTCAAGTCCTGCTTGCAGAGGGAATGGAATCCTTTGCTGGCAGCAGCAAGAAATGTCCTCTTGAAATAAAAGGAGGGATAGTTCCAAATTTTCTTCTTAAACGTTGTCAGAACTTCATCTGCTTTCTCTGTGCTGTCAAAAGGTAAGACTGACTGTAGAGTATGATTGCCCGTTTTTAAGGTTAGGAAAAAATCCAGGCGGATGTTAAATTTCCACTGACGTTTTAGAAGTTATTCTCAAATCTCTTAAAGAAAGCAAGACCTTAAAGTCTGAGAAGCTTCTGCCATTCTCATGGTATTTCTTCCCTGCAGATTTGAATGGGATAGATCTGACTCCTGTGCAAGATACTCCTGTGGCTCTGAGGAAGGAGGACACGTATGTCCATTTTAACGTGGACATTGAGATCCAGAAACACGTTGAAAAACTAACAAAAGGTATGTATTGTCAGATATTGGAAATGGGGCCCAGGAGCTTTCAGAGTATAGACACTAGGCTGCTCCTGATCTAGTGAACAGGCCATGCCTGAGCTGCTACTGCAGGGCTCAAAATCCAGATGTGGATAGAAATAGACCTTTGCATCCTGTCTTTTTCAAATGGGTCATTGTGATGACTTGCAGATAAAGGAGGAATGAAAACAGATACAAATGCAGCACTCTGCTCTGTTACATATTTAGCTGCTTTGTGACCTTCTCAATTCATTGGACAAACTGTTACCTAGATATAAGTAACTGAATTGGGAGTGCAAGCTCACGTGAGTGTGATGAGCAGTGTAAGAACATGGTGTATCTTCTGAGTAAATTACAAAAGTATTGGAGATAATTCTCTCCACTGTATATAGCGCACCTTAATGGCAGATAAGTTTTCTGATAATTGTTGCCCATAATTGCTAACTTTCTGTTAAACTGCTTTCCACTCTAGGTGCAGCTATTTTCTTTGAATTCAAACACTACAAGCCTAAGAAGAGGTTTACTAGCACCAAGTGCTTTGCTTTCATGGAGATGGATGAAATTAAACCTGGGGCAATTGTTATAGAACTGTAAGTGACTCGCAGTTACAGATGCCAATGGCAGGTGCTACAGAGGAAACGAACTAGACTTCAGTTACAATGTGTTGCTTGTTGCATCAAGGAAGGTTTTCTGGGCTCATCGGATTGACTTCCATAAGAAATATTCTACTTTTAATAACGAATGGAAGATAAAAAAGCCTTTAGACAAAAAATGGCTAGAGACCTTTCTCAAAACTAGACTATTTCCAGACACCAGCATTTCATTTGGAACTGAATTGTTTAAGAAGTTAACAAATTCTGTGTGGGAGTCTTTCGTTTTGACCTTAGCTTGAGCATCAGATCAGCTATGTAAGAAAATATTAAACTCTCATGAACTTCTAGTACAGAACTTCTGTAAAGGAAATACAATTTGAGATATTTGAGGTTGATTTGAAATTGAATTCTTACGAACATTTCAAAGCATTTTCTTTTTTTTTTTTTTTTTCCCCTCTAAGCAGGCGGGGGGCTAGATACCGCAGGCAGGGAGATAGATTAGCCAGTTACACTGCAGTGCTTGTGGTGTGCATCCTGCCCTTACTGTGTGGGTGAGGGTGTGTTGAAGGAGGTCTTTGCGGAGGAGGGTTGAAGAAGAGGGGGAACGTGCAATTCAGAGCATCTTTAAGACGTGTTTAACAAATGCCTCCATTGGCTGCAGTACTTCTGACGTACTGAATTAACTGGTACTGTATTTCCTAGGATCCAGAGTATTATAGCAGGAATTCTCCTTACATAAAGCTTACATGTATTTTAAAAATTGAAATCTTTATTTTTCCTAAAGTAATATTCCAGAGAAAATACTGCTTGGAGTTTCTTCATGTAAATCTATTCATTATTGTTCATTTCGGTGAATCCTAACTGATGTATTTGAAAGATTATGGCAATAGGATCTGGACAGGACAAGCTTTTTAGCATGCTTTCATTTTCCTACATAGCCTTTAGCACTTGTATTAACTTACTTTCTTGTGGTTACAGGTACAAAAAACCCACTGACTTTAAAAGGAAGAAATTGCAACTGTTGACCAAGAAACCACTTTACCTTCACCTCCATCAAACATTGCACAAGGAATGACCCTATTTGTGAGACTTCTGTGAACTAAACAAGTCATGGTAGCTGTGTGTAGTAGCCTTAGCCTTCAAGGGGCAGGAAAACGACTGTATTCATGCCAGTAGGTCAAATGGGACCATCACATACTGCACAGCACTACTACAGGGTCAGAGGCAAGCCTACCATTCAAGTGCAAGTTTTTTCAGTACCTTCCAGATGCAGGCTTTTCTGAGAGCCCTGAAAAATTTTGACTGCTTTTCCTAATTTTGCTGTTCAGAATTTTTTACCTTAACCATTATTCTCCTTTGCCCCAAACTCCGTTGAGGGATGGAGACTGCCCCTTTTCCAAAGCTGTAGCAATAAAGATGTGGCAGGCCTACTAACCTGTTTACACTTGCTGTGCTATTGTAGTTCCTCTCATCTGCATTTCAGGGTCCTCTGTAATGGGGCTGGGTGGCAGAAAACCAGGAAAAAGAAAAGGTGGTGTGGGAAGGAGCTTGAGCTACCGCAAGTGATGTCAAATGAGGGAAAGGAGGATGCTGGGTGCGTCAAGGAAGGGAGACGAGCTGGCCTCAGGAGAGCTCCTCAGTCAGCTGGTCTTCTTTGGTCAGGCTAGGAGGAGGAGGAGATGACTGCAGATGAGAAAACTGAACTATGATTTTAACAGCTGAATCTTAGTTCTTAGACTTGCCTGATCCACTCTTACCAAGTTTTGGAAAAAGTATATATTACAAACCTTTAAATCACAGTTACTCCCAGGTAGAGCTATTTTTTTTCCCCCTATGTCTTGTCACAGAATGATTTGCAAAGATGGGCAGAGGAAGAAGAGAGGCTTCCTTTAGGGCCTCATCCTCACCCCTAGGTGGCGGGGTGAATTTTACCGTTTTGGTGATAGCAGGACAGGCCCCTCAGTGTTCAACAACGTCAATTTTCCAGAGCTTTTAATAAAGTAGATCTGGCTAGCAGGTTGACCCACCTTTTACATGAAACTGCTGTTTTTATGGAAACTGATTGTATGCAGTTTTTTGCATATTTGTGCAAGTCTGGAAACTTACTCTAAAATTACCTTTTTATGTAAGTAGATAGGATTATCATTTATTTTCTTTATTATTGATTCAGTGTGTAATAAGCTGCAGGACATTGGCTTATTTTGACACACAATTTCACTCACTTTTTGACCTAATAAAGGGACAGAAGTAGAACCCAGTCAAATCTTTCATATATTTGAGTGGATATTTAATACAATACTTTAAGGTTTGATATACTTCTTGCGTATCTAACTCGTGCCTAAATATTCTGCTATGCTAACAAAAGACCCAGCCCTCAAAACCATGTCAAACGTTAGGTTGATTTTAAACCGTCTGGATGCAGATGTTTGTTTTACTAATTCTTCTTTTCTGAAATGTAACACTAGGATGTTGCAGAATGCTTTTAAAAAAAAGGATTTTACTTCTCCTTGTGGTTTATTTGTCTGTTCATAAGGAGGTGTTCAGAATTCTGTTTGCTTTACAGATAAGGACATTCAGAAACAGCTTTTTATCTTCTCTCCTTTCCTCTGTTCTGGCATAAAAATTGAGGATGTAAACTTTCCTCACTGAACATAATTATTTAACTCTTATGACAAAAAACAGCAACAGTTACTCAAATTCTATTTATGGTTGGAAAAAAATACAGAAGTGCAATTGTATTTTCCTGTTTACAGGTCTTTGAAAGAAACCCCCCCCCCCCCCCCCAGTGGTATTACAGCTGATATGTCAGATTACCAAGCCCTGAAAAGATATCCCCATGAGTTATGGAAATACCTCTAATTGAGGCATGCCAGATGATACCTTACAAATGATGGATACATTCTTAAAAACAAAACAAAAGCAGCAACTTTATCCCTCAAACTCTATAAAAAGGTTGGACAAATCCTGATGGAGCAAAACATTAGTTAAATTTCTACAGTTACAAGTAAATCTGAGTTAAGTCAATAGCTGTATTAATTTGCCAACAGTGCTTTGCTGGCTCAGGCCTCTCCTAACCTAAAAATCTATAGCACCAGGCTTTTTTGCGTGACGCATACATCTCGTCTTACTCAGCAAGTGGATATTCTGCAGCTCTGTCCTTAGTCTAACATCCTACTGTTTCTTTTAGTGTCACTCAATACCTGGTAAAAGCACTGAACTAAGCTGTGCGTTCTGCCTGCGACTAACAGCGCACTCACCCTCCTCCTGCTGCTCCCAGAGGATGATTCCTTCCAGCTGAAAGTTGTGTTAATGCTAACTGCAGTGGGCAAGGGACAAGACATTAAACATCATAAAACTTGGTGTTGGGGAAGGAAAGATGCTAAACTAGGAGAATCTGACTTTCAAATACAGATGTTCAATGCGTATGTAATTAGCCACTATTCAAATTGAACACTTTTCATTTGACTTACAAACCCACTGTTATCAGCTACTTACCATGACTCTTCCCCAGCTTGTAGATGTCTGTATTAATTCCAGTTATATGACATGTCAACTTTGAAGTATTTTTGTTAAATACATAAGTAGAGCTTTGTATTTAACTAATTGTGAAGTAATGTTTGTAGAGTGTGAAATACCATTTTTACAGTTGCTTCTATCCTTTGCATTTTTTTTTTCTGCAAACTGGCTTTCATTGAAAGGACTACTATTCCACAAAACACAAGCTCCTACATGTATTGTTTTATGCTGATGTTCTATCTTGTCTTTCATCTTAAATCTAAAGCTTACTACTTGTACTGTAAGAATGTAACACCTACATGACAAGTTTAATGGCTGCTTGTACTCTGGCAGTAAAGCTATAATGGCCTTTTGTTAGATTTTTTTTTTTATTATTACTCCTAATTGTTTTCTCTTCCCCCTTTTCTCCATAAGTACTTCTGTACAGAGTATTGTTTAAAGCTTAACGGCTTAGCATCTAGATAATTGGCCTGCTATGCCCACTATTACATGTCTTGCCTTCAGGGATTTCTTTGAACGTCTGCAAGTGTACAGTGTGTTTTTAAAGCTATCCCATGTTCTGTGTATATAAACTGATTTGAAACAATATAGGTTAATATGGTTTACTTAAAACTACTCTGCTTAAGGAAAATTTTTTTTTTAATTATTATAGCATTAAGCGAAAAAGGCTGAAAAACACCGACTTAGTGCCAAGGAAGCTGAATTGTTCTTGAACACAAAGATTTAAACTCAGTTTTCAAACCTTGCTCAATATGCTGCTTTCTGCCCCTTCTCTTTTGAAGGCAAGAGAGGCTCTAGGAAGCCAGTTTTGAAAGCAAAAAAGTGATTGCTATATTTTTTCATTTCTAGAAGCCTCGAGCCATAACCTGTATTTCTGAATTAACCACATGATTGTGGCATTCAAGAGCTCAGGCTGTCCATAGTTTCCAGCACTAAACTGCCTTTCAGTTGAGGTCTGCATCCCCCACTGTCTTCATAGTGGAAGCAAGTCAGCAGCATGCTAGACCAGTTCCACATAAGGTTAACACAATCATTAATTCTACAACCTATGCAATTACTCAGCCTTGATTCAGTTCTTAAACTTGATCATGGCTATAGCATTCTTTGGTTAAATTACTGAAGCAGTGTCCTTTCTGAATAAAAAAAAAATGGCATTGGAACCAAGTCTTGAGGGTTTAGCAAAAGGAATTTTGCTTTTTATTATAACTTTCCTTTGAATACAGTGTCATTTGTGCTTCTGATCTCTGACCAGACATCTTTTTTTTTTTTTTTTTTAAAAAAAGTTCTTACAGTCCTTATGTAAACCCCTGGTCTACAATAACTGCAGCTTAATGATGTGATGGAGAAGGCAGGTAAGATAACATTTTACTTAAAAATTATTTCCACAGGAAATGATTTGATTTACATTTTTCATGAAATTAGTTCATTCACCAACTGGTTACAGAGGCTACATTTAATTAAAACTAGCCACACAGGTACTTCCTTCCTATTGCACGTTTAGAGTAGGTTCAAGTCCATCACAAAAAAGTTCTTGCAGCCCAAGAGGATGGATGAGTTTAAGGTGATCATAAATGCACATAAGATGTCTGTAGCAATTGGATAAAAATTAATCCTGCGAAAGCTGAAATATACTGAAATGAGACAAATGGCTTCAAACAGAGAACCATTTTCTAAAGTCCTGACTGCAGGAAGTGCGCTAGAGTCTGTTCCACTGAGCTGCTGATCAGACACTGCAGTTAGGGTTTCTGTGCTGGAGGCTGTGTATAGTCCTTTGAGCCTGCAGGTGGTGGTGGTGGAGGGCCTGCTGGGTAGTCTCTAGGTCCTGATGGAGGCAAGTCTCTACTAGGAGAAGGTGTATAGTCTCTTGAGCCAGGTGGGGGTAGCCGTGGGCCTGGAGGATAATCTCTTGGGCCATGAGGACCAAGAGGTCGAAAAGAAGGATGCCCACGTCCATATCCTCTTGGATCTGGAGGCGGTAGTGGGCCAGGAGGCAGATCTCTCATTCCTAACGGTGGGCCAGGTAAGTAGTCTCGCACAGCTGGAGGTGGTAAGGGAGCTCCACGAACTAGAAGAAACGGAAGACATCAAGTTAACAGAAATTTTGCTCAAATCTAAACATATTAAACTCCCAGCTTGTTCCTCATTTTGTAATTTGTTGGAGCCTCTCTGGGGTGGGGTCCCTATCGCATGCAGACTTCACAGGCCATGAACTATATTCTAGTGCCTTTTGGCAGCTGGTTTCCAGTTTAGACTTAACAGGGGAAAAACACCTAGAAATTAAGGAGGCTTGAAGAAAAACCTGTCCAGACCTACCAGGCAAGACAGCTAGCCCTCATGAAGAGCAGGGAAGCTGTGTGCTAAGGGATGGCAGATTCTCAGTTCTGCAGTAGGCTTCATGAGAAGCACAATGGGAGATCAGTTTCAGCACAAGGCAGTGGAACTGTACCTAGGGGCCCAGGAAGAGGTCGAGGCCCAAAGTGCCCACGGAGAGGAGCTGGTGGAGGTCCATATCGAACAGGTGGTGGAGGTGGAGGTCCCATCACTGGAGAGGTCATGATAGGTGTCCCAGGGAAAGAAGGTGGGCCTTTCGGACTAATGTTAGCCTGTGAAGGATTAGGTTAATACTTCAATGTGTGACTCACTGCATCACAGAAATACTGACACTGCTGAACACCACACTCACTCACCCAAATGCCAAGAGATGGAAGAAAGAAATACATTAACCAAGTGGAAAGTAGCAAAAGTCACTGCAGCTTCATTGCCCCTTTGCACAGAACATTGCTTGCACTACCTCCTAGGAGCGAATACTTAGTGTACCTTCTGGGACAACAGCTTCTTTAGCTAAAACTTCACTAAAGAGCACTTCCATCCCTTTAAAAGTGTCCTTGAGCCTCAGAGCTCTTAAAACAGCCAGAAACCCTCCAGAGGTTAAACGGCCTGGCTCCTTATATTGCATATGGAATTGTGCTTAAATACCACAGGTAAGACAGTTTCTTAGGATTGTTGTAGTCACTCAAAAGTGAAGTGTTTGCCTGCAGTCAACAAGAACGATTTGATTTCCTCAGTTCCATGAAAATGAGACAGCAACTGTTCATCATTAAAGAGACCTTTTGAGACAGAGGTGTAAGCCCTTGGTTAGTTTTGCAGAGCATTTTGTTATTTAACAGTTCAGAACACCAAGCCTGTTATTCCTCTCCATCAAAGCAGAGTAACACCATATTCAGCCTCTGAATACTCACTGTAACTGGTTCAATAGATGAAGATGAATCAGTAGTTACACAGGGGGCTTCAGACTCTTTGGGAGAGGGCTGCTTTTTTTTTTTTTTTTTTGGACAGCAAATAAGGATGGTGACAGGATATAGACAAGACAGAACATGATACAGTTAAAGAAGAAGCAGGAAGTACAGTAAATCATTATTAGAAATGCTTCCTGTAGTTTTTTTTTTTTTCCCCAGCTTACCACTCCATCCATTGCTGCAGAAGGGGAGGAGGTTCTTGGCACACTACTGATGAGGGATGCTACCGCAGGCCCGAGATCTGTAAAGAGAGATGCAATTGCATGTCTTACCCTGCTTTGGGCAAAAGGAACGTGTTTTTTCAAATTACATTTCTGAAGTGAAAGAATAACTGAGTGAGTTACAGTTCGCTGCACAGCACATAACTTACCAGGAACTGACATCCTTCCAGATAGCTCTAGTGGCCTTCGTGGAGCGGAGGGGCCATCTACCACTGTACCTTAAGGGAAACAAGAACACCACAGAGCCTAATCAACACATATGTCAGCTATTTCTATTAGAAAACAAAGCAAAAAACAACATGTTTATTATAAAGCAGGTGTCAATACATACACTTCTCCCAGAATCAGACCGGAATTTAGTGTTCTTGGTATTTTAGCATATGAGATACTTGTGACAGAAAGGAAGCTGCAGCACTTACCAAATTCACCTCTTGAGCCTTCCCTTCGAGGAGCAGAAAGGGGACGACCAGAAACTTCCATCATCTGTGTGGGGGAAGGATTTCCCCCGCTCACAGGCGATGGGCCAAAAGATCCATCTCGGCTTAAGGGCCCTACATGAAAGAAGAAACAATATTCAAATTACTTCTCTAAACTGACTCAAAGACCAAAGTTTTAGGAGAAATAGCAGGATTTACCTCTTCGTGGCGGGACCTGGCGATCAGGTCTGCCTGGAGTTGGCTTGACAATTAATGGTCTTTGAAGCATGACAATTTTTTGGTTCACTTCTATTAACCTAATTTTAAAACAAAATTTTTTTTTTTTCCATCCAAATACATGAGAGTTATTTGTTATGATGTAATACTATCATAAGCAAGTTACATTGTAAAATGTTAGAGCTCTTCACCAATAAAGTGTATTTACACCGTCAAAACAGTTTAACTAGTTTAACATTAGTAACTCAGACGTGCACTGCACATTCCAGGCTAACAGCCACTTGCAAAGTTTGAGCGTCTTCTCTCCTAAGCAATACAGAACATTTTCAAAAAGCAAAACAAGTGATCTGCCCTGTACTTACTTTTGCCTCAGGTTGGCTGCTTCTCTTTTTTCTTCAGCCAGAGCTCTCTCAGCAGAGCGGGCAATAAGCTATTAGGGGAAAATTTTTGCCAACTGCGTTAACTGCACCAACTTGAAGCTAAATACAAAGTGTTTGCTTTATTATAGTCAGAAAAGGAAGATTCTTACCCAATTGTCATGTGCCTTTTTCTCATGAGCAGCAATCTAAGAAAAAAATAAGTGTTTTAGCTTATTTTTCCCAACAACTAATATCGCCAAGAACTCACTAAAGAGCGTTAGAATGATAAAGTAAATTGTGACACAATAACAAGCAAGCAGGAAATTTACCTGATTTTTGTAAGATCTCTCTGTTTTCTGCAATTCTTCTTCCATATCGTGAATCCTTTGCCTGTCAAGAAAAAGAGGGGGAAGAGAGGGGTTTAAATGAGTTTTCCTCAGCAGCTGAAATAAAGGAAAACAACAATCTTCAGAAACTTAAGTTACTTGTAAACTTTCACTTCCTCAACGGCCAGCACTGCTTTTTCATCTGCAGCAGACAATTTCTGCTCCTTCTCCTGGCGCTCATACTCTTCCTGCGTCAGCTTTCTATAGAGGGGGAAAAAAAAAAAGTGTGTGTGTGTGTGTGTGTGTGTTTACACACACACACACGTATAGACAAACAGCATTTTTAACTTTATGCTTCATTAATACTTGCATTTTTGACATTTTTCTAGTAGTATTTAAAAGAAGCCAATAACGTGTTCATGTCTTACAACAGCTATCCCATAAAAATGGAACCATTAAACTAATAAGTTAATTATTGCTAATAGCCAATTCAACACAAGACATTTCCTTAGCTACACATGGAAACAATTTTCTGTAAGAAAACTGTGGAAAGTCCCTCATTCAAATCAAGAGGTAGTAATGGGTAACGTAACTTTTTAAACCTTTTGGAAGGAATATATATCCTTCGGTTACAGAGGTCAGGAGGAAGTTTTTCATGAAAGACGGGTTATCCTTTACCTTCCTATTATGCGTTTACTACATCAGGATGCTCAGGTAATGAGACCAGTCCGTTTCATTTCTGAGGTACTCAGTAGAGCCTCAATACCCTAATTAGTTCCAGCCTTGTGCTTCTGCCCAGCACACACACACGTGAGCCTTAGAACTTTCAACTGCTTCTCTACCAGAATTTCCTGAAGAAATTTTTAGCTGAAAAGACCTGAATCATATCTCAAATTCCCCTCATAGAATTGAGATTGTATTATGGACGTTTCAACAAGTTGATAAAAATAAATGAGGAACGAACATAACTGATACACAGCTAGTTATTCACTCCCAGTCATTCATTCATTTCAGCTATTGCCATGAACCCAACCATAATTTAGTCATTTGAAAATGCAAAAAGCTCACAAGGCTAAAAAATAAGTTTCTTCATTATGAAAGTTAGATTCATTTAATTGACATTCAGAATAACTGAAACAATATTAATCAATGGTCACCATCTTCTCCTTGTCACTTCTGAACAAGGAGATACCCCAGCCACAGAGTTTGCAGACCAAGCCATGTGGACAAAAGTCTGAAGTTTCACCCGTTTCCCTCCAAAAAAAGTTTTTTTTGGCTAGAGACATTATCGTGTGTGAAAAAAAAAAACTGAGTTTTGGAGAACCTGTGGAATGGCAAAAAAAAAAGAAAGAAAAAAGTAAAAAAGTTGGGGCTAGGTTCAACCATACTGAAGCATTAGCCATCACCACTCATTCAATACAACTTGAAGTCATTTGATCCTACTGAGCAAAGAGTACTTGGATAGCGCATATGATATAATACGCTCTCTTGTGGAAAAGTAATGAAAGGCTTACTTCTGGAGCGCCATCTCTTTCTGCTGGTAGAGTTCACTGAGAATCTCCACTTTCTGCTGTAGCGTTTTGCACTCATTTTCCAGACGAGCTTTGGCTGACTGCAGTGAACAGGAGTCATGTTCTAATTTTTTGATTTGCTCTGTTGGAGAAACAAGGGTAGGTGAGGAAGCTGAAGAGAGGTGCTATGAGAACCATTATGCCACTTAAGGGTTCTAATGTTTCTTTTTAAACTACAGACAGAATTTGACAGCAAGCAATTCTTTTGCTAAGACTACCTTCCAGCTCATGTCTTGCTGTTACTTCATCACTCAGTTTGGATTGTAGAAGATCTCTATCTTCTTCAACTATGGATAACATAGTTTTTACCTGAAAAGAAGAGCAAGAAGTTTATCATCATAGGTACAGCAGTAATGGGGCTGTATTTATTAGATATCTTGTGCAGCATACCCTGGAGACATCCATCATCTGCTTAATCTGAGTCTTCATCTTCTCACTCTCATTATCTTTAAAACAAATAAAAAATAAGAAATAAATTTTTTGCCTCTTTCTTAACCCCAATTCCCTGTAATCAAAAGCTGTTAAAAATAACATTCTCCACTTTTTAAACTGGGATAAGTTTCCTTACATGTTGAAACAAAGAGGGGGGGAAAAAAAAAAAAACACAACAGTAATTATCTCCGATATCGCAATTCTGTGACCAGCACAACAAAACCAGAAGATTTATTCAAAAAGGTGTTCAGAAGGTTCTTTTTTGTCGCTCCTTCTAGCCACCACACTAATATTAATATGCATGTAGTACCTGATATTGGAAATGGTATAAGGTTAAAAGAGAAAGACAAAAAAGGAGTAGTAAAAAAGTCTTCAAAACCAGAGATATAGCAAATACAAACAACAGCAAGGATGCTACACCTTCTAAATAGTTTTGAAAACTTGTATTTCAGTCTTTAAAAATGTGATTATCTAAAATAGTTATGTATACCCATTAGCAAGTACTCATTACTCATAGAACTTGCATAAAAAAAACTAGCATAACAAAAAAGCTGAGATTCTCACGTTTTGCAGTGGCCTTAACTACTAATCTTCATGCCCTTCATCTTTATAGCTCTGTCATTACACTGACAGTACACTTAAACACTATTTTAAAAGCAATTATAAACCTTTTAACTGGTTCTTCCCTTGGAGCCAGGAGGTATTTTGTGTTGTTTGAGGATTAAACCTGACAGTCGCTTAACTCATAAGCAGCTATGTGCATGGAGTCTCCTTGTTCCCCATGATATGACATGAACATAGCAGCTTATTATATGCTTTATCTACTGTGTGTGCTTAATAGTCAAGAGATAGGATTACTGTACCTGGTAACTCTCCATTGGCCAGATCGTCTCCTGTACTCCATTCATGCCCTTCACCATCCTTCCTAGCCTCAGAGGCAGGAGCTACATCAAGCTGCTTCAGCTGCATAATGCAGTTAGTTAAAACCTAATGAAGAAATCAAAGGATCACTGAAGGATAATTGCTCTGCATTCTGTTAAGTATTCCACACTATTTTACAGTGTGTAATATTCAAAACTTGTTAAAAAGAACTTACTTCAATTTCATTTTCCTTGTAGGCGAGTGCTTCTTCTATATCTTTCTGAGACTTCTGATACAATTTAATTTGCTCACTGAGCTCAGTATGTCTCTCACTCCAACCTTCAGCTTCTTTTAGCAGCTGTACAAAGAACAAGGCAAGATGATTTTTTGTTTTATTTTTAGTACAGGAGAGACATAATTGAAGTCTTTTACTACCAGCTCTGATCATAACTGATCACCGAAGGTCACAGAGAAAGGGTAAACTTCAGAGTTATCATATTCATGACTAGTCTATTGGTAGAAGTGGATGCTGGAAATCTTTCTGCAATTTATATTACTAGGCACTTCTACAAATTTGATTTTTTTTTCCATCTGATATTCCAACATTAGAACCAAACTGCTCACATGCTTCAAAAATGATAGGAATTAACTGCAATCTAGTGGCAACCAAACCACGTTCCTTAAAATGACTACTACTTCATATGTGGAGAAAGACAACAGAGATATTTCAATTAATTTGTAAAAGGACAGTCACGGCATTTCAAGGCTAAAGAGCCTGCCTATCTAGCCTAGCTTCAGAACTGATTCTTGGCAATTCTTTACTGTGACTTCCTTCAGTCCCATCCCCAAATGGCATCTCCTGATGATCATAGGGACCACCACATCAATATAGACTTTTGGTGAAGTTTGATAAAAACCAAATCACTGCAACTGGCAAAGCCTTCATAATGGAAGCACACGGTTCATTTGCACAAAAAACCTGTTTTAACAAGTGGTTTAAGTTTTATCATAATCATATGAAATCCTGACATGTTAAAAAACATAGGAGAAACGGACACACTGAAGTCATACTCAAGAAAACTAGGACAAAACGTCCTAATATTTAATACAGGGGAGAAACAAAGTTGCCTGGCCTGGGAAGAACTTACTTGGTCCTTGCTCTTTTTCAGCCTAGCGTTCTCTTCCTGCACGTGACGAAGCTCAGATTTCACCTTTTCTTCATTTAGTTTAGCTTCGTTAAGGGCTATCTGCACCTACGTATTAAACAAAAATGAACAAAAAAGAGAAAGTCAAACTGTAATGGAATAAGAGCTACATATTGCTTGGTAACACATAAAAGTAAACATGTGCAGACAACCTGGAATCTGGCAAGCTAGCATCTGCTATTAGATCTGATACATGAGTCTTCCCAGTACAAGAACTTCTTCTACCTATGAATGTTGAGAAGATGTAAGATAACGCTTTACCTCTGAAAGCTCTACAGAATGCACACTGATAACTTCTTGAAGTTTCTCCAAGGACTTCTGGGTTTCAGAGATCTACATAAGAAAAAGATGAACAGTGACTTTCCACTATCTGGTATGTACCTTAGCCTGGGTATGTAATTATTTTATCTGTGTATTTTGAAAGCATAAAGGGAAATTCAAAGCATCAACCAATCCCTATTTAGAACAGCCACTAGACTAGTAGCACCACAGTGCTGCCTTATCAGCAATGCAGAACTAAGAACAAACTGGAGGTTAGAATCAGCTCCAACCCCCCACCCCTGCCTGGTGACTCTGCCTTTCTGTGGCGGGGAAAGTTCCATGTACATCTGCGCAGTCTAGAACGAAAGTAACACGTGCTGCTGCCATTAGCAATAACCTTTGATCACAACAACACCAAAGAACTTGTTGGAACCTACCATTATTAAAGCAAAACAGGGTTGGGGGGGGACCTATGGACAAGAAGAACGAGGGGCAGGTCAAAGAGTCTCACACTTACTATAGAACTAGAAGCCTCTTCTCAGCAAAACCATTTCCCATACCAACCTCAAACCCTCAGCCCATATTTTTAAGGAACTTCCTGGCTTTGGTAGGAAGTAGTAGACCAGCCAAAGACTGGAGTACATCTGTTTGCATGTGAAGGCACATAACCACAGAAGTTCATCAAATACCTTAGAGAATCAACATAAATTTCAGTTCATCTCAAGTTCAAGGGGGGAGGGGGGATTCATTGCAGTTTTCCTTCTGAAGTGGCTCATCTCCTTTTCCCTACCTCTATCTGTTCACCCATCAGATAGCAATCAGCTTTAAGGCACCTAAGTTAAGGACAATATAAGACATTAGTGTGATTGTTCTTACCTTGCTCTGTTTCTTCTCGTTCTGTTTTCTCTCAGTTTCAAGCATTGTGTGCAGGTTTTTTACTTTGTCATCCAGCAGACGATTTGTTTCTTCTAGCCCTTTGACAGTATCCTAAAAATAAAGGAGACACATCCAACTAAAGCAAGGTATTTTATTAATGCCTTTATTTTCAGTACAGCAAGAATGAACCACGTGTTACCTTAAGTTCTGCAGCTTCATCTGAGAACACGCTTTTTTGTTCCTGGGCCACTTTCACTGATTCCTTTGCTTCCTTTATCTAAGTACAGAAACAATCAAACAGAACTGAGGAAACTGTCAACATAATATTCAGTAAGAACAGAAAATTAAAAGGTATTAGCTGTTGTATTGACTGTGTCATTAAACCAAGAATAGAAAATTATGAAGCATATGACAACAACACAGACAACAACATACCTTTTTATCGTATTCTGACATCTTTTCTAAGATTTCTGTTTTTTCTTGTAGAAGGTTTTTAATCTTTTCAGCAAGTTGCTTTTCAGTCACTAGGAAGAAAAAGAAAGCTTGCAGTAATTGTACTTCCTGGAAAAAATTCAGAGCTATTATTACTACCACTTTAGGGAACATTTTCTTCAAGTAGGGACTAAAGCACAAACCAGGACGCTGCCAGTTCCCTGGCAGTCAGCACCTTCTGCAGAAGTCTAAGCATCTTCAGCTTTCGTTAAAGTTAGGACTGAAAACAACTTAAGACAGTTAAGCACCAAGCACTGACACGAAGCATACAGGTCTTGCATCTGCTTCAGAGAAGCCAGTCGCAGAACGCAGACTAGAGCAGGCTGAGGTGCTTGCTATACCTAGATGACATATGTTCAGGGAAAGAACTGCCAGTGAGGATGTCGGAGCACCCTTAGACTGCTGCTCTGAGACTCAAGGAGATGCAAACACCTTCCCTAACAACCAGTTCTTTCTGCTGTACTGAAACTTCAGTCAGCAAAGAACAGGACAAAAGCTTTGGAAGATCTGCTGTGAACAGAATGACGTCGTCAGCTAGCAGATGGCATCAGTAAGCCTCAAAGAGCTGCATATTTTTCTAACAGACACTATTTCCGGATCTCGCAAACGGCTATGATCAAGCAGCAGTTCTCTGAGGCATTTTCATTTCTCAGTCTGAACAGCTTGCTGACCATTCTTTAGGATTCAATGCTTAACATACTTAATGTTACATTACCTTAACATACTTAAATTATTTTATTGCAAATTAGTTTAGAAGCAGCATCCAACTGGCATTCTTTTCCAAGTCCTAAACCGTCTCCATTATTTGACCATCCCAAGCCCCATTTGCCTCATAGCAAATCCTGCAGCTCAGACAACACGAAGCACTGGTTGTTCCAACGGCATCCTGCAGGTTGTAATGGCAAGTGCTTCTCCCCCTTCCTCTCTCCCATATGAGGGCTTTTGGACTACAGGATCCCCAGCCCTTCCTGCTCTGCTGAGAGAGGAGGTAACAAATGACTGCTGAGAGATACAAGATCTTTCTCAGCAGTTTAAATGAGGCAGGAATCCCTGCATTAACTCGGTCTCCTGACTTTCCTACTGTGATGAAGAACAGATTATAGATTTTACCAGTGGGGCTCCAAATGAAATCTATATTTTAATTCATTTTATCATTGTTAAAATTCCATTTCAGATAGAGATTTTAATAACAAAAAAATCAACTTTATCATGTTTGAAGAGTATTTATTTGCTTTTAGCTTTAGTAGTTTCTATACTCTAACATACAAAATAATATTTTGGAAAAAAAAGGATTAGACAGTGTTCCTTAATTTTTTTTATTTTTTTATTTTTTTAAAAAGAATGGCTGCTAAGTAGCTTCTATACCATCAATACCAGCACTCTTCCTCCTCAATATTTGTTTTACAGCACAGAAATCTCCTTACAGACCTAAAGTAAAATTTTTCAGCTCACCAGTTCTGCATTCATTATGTAACAGGAAACTGCAGTATAACTACACTGAAACTAGAGGGCAATGACAGATAAGCAGCGCAGTTTGTGAAGAAACAGGCAGAGAGTTCATGGGAAGACAACTCTTCCATGTTTTTGTTCACTTCTGAATTTCAGCAATGGCCCTATTTTGAACTTTTATCCTTTTCTATTCAGTACACTTGAATTTTGTATATTTGAAGCTTGAGAAATGCTCTTGTAAAAAAGCTGTGTGCTAGGCACAAGACTATCTGTGTACTTATGTTTTCAGAAGGTCTCTTTGTAACCGCACAGTAACCATTATCAGGCTCCCCTCATCAGAAAAGGCAAGATGTATTAGATACTGCTTTTTGCAAGAAGGAACAAGCAAAAGTATTAGTCGGAAAACCAGAACAAACTCTGCCCCACCACCACCTTAGCAGTAAGCCAAAGGATCACATTTAAGTTTCACAGGGTGGAGCTTTTCCTTGCCCTTATCTTTGATTTGCAGGTGTGGGCTGCTTCATTTCTCCCCAGCCAAGCACATTCCACATCCTCAGATTCAAATAAGTATCATCTATAGGCCTTACACTTAACCTTACACTTAACGTTCTCCTGGAAAAGGAGGGAAGATTAACACTTGGTCCTCAGAAGATCTTCAAAACTTTACATACATAAACATAAGCATCAAGTATGCTGTAAGTACAGAGAAACTTACCTTGATACATTCTACTCTTTACCTACAGAAGAAAAAGAAAAAAGTAATTAGCCATAAAGTGGTAACTGAAAACTTCTATTTCTTTTTTCTAAAAAGGAAAGAAAAAAAAAATCAATTGAACATATATGGATTAAAGAAGCATACGGGAAGTTCTGTACATTCATCAGTGCCAACAAGAGTGTTGAATAACACTACACAAACAAGCTTAAGCAGTTTTCTAATAAAAGCTTCTAGGTTAATGCTCTATCTTTGGGCCCGAGTAAAGGTCTGTTTACTCAGTCACTACAAGGATACAAATAACAGATCACATCCAATTTTCCATAAGGAAAATTAAACCGTTTTTACCAGGCAACAGTCATGAACTTTTAAACATAAAAGATTCTTGCTCCCCACTTTTGATTCAACATTTAAAGGAAGGTATGTTTGCGCGGCCATTGCTCATTTCAAAACAAACACCATTTAAAGAAGAAATGCAGAAGCTATTCTTCTCCTGCTATATATTAACAGTATTTTGCATTTGAAACAGATCTAATTCATTAAATATCAAAGCAAGAGCAAAGAAAAAAACACTGGTGTTGTTCCAGATAATATTTAGTTTTAATATGTTTTTATAAAGCAAAGATAATAGATTCCATAGATTTCAAGTGCATATCATCAATGAGCTTGACAGATGAAAATAATCCATCCTAATTCATTTTTCATATATCCATTCCCAAGGAGATGCATTGATATATTTGAGAGCTAGTGATAACTTGTCTGTTCAAGAAAAACATCTGTGTAGGAAAGAGGGGAACAAGTGCAAACTGAGCAGCAGGTTTGGGAAGGCGCTCTGCAGTCAGAATGAAAATCAGGTTTTTAGGTTTCCAGATGTGGCACCTGCACTTAAAAGCAACTGAAGAACATGAAGGGGGGAGGACTGTTTGTTTTGGAGATCGTTAGCAACAGGCTCAAGCACATGGAAGGCATCTCATCTCAAAGACATGCTAACCCTTTCTTCAGCCTTCTAGGTTTATACCACACTCCCTATTTTGCCTTGGGAACTGCCTCTTACTAGGAACCGTGCTAAAGCGAGTGCTCTCTTAACTTGAAGAAAATAACAACTTACTTCAGCTATTAAGCCTAGCATTAAGTTTGTGTTAATGATCTAAATGGAAAAAGTAAAAAAGCAAAAGACTAGATACTGCTTTGACCCCAGGAGTGCTGAAATACTTTAAATCATACAAAAAAAACCACTCAGTGAGTTAAGTAACAGCAAGCTTGCAAGCATGAACGATACTCACTGAAAGGCAGGTTCTCCAGAAGATTATAGCAAGCGTAGTAATTCCCACTAAGGCAGTCATAATGATAGGCTCCCATGGAAGTCCATGGAAATCAGGCCCAGGACGGATATCCTCAGGCAGGGTGGCAACCAACTAAAAAATCAACAACATTGACAACTATGAATATTGTTTTCATTAAATTCTCAGGTACAACGTGTAGTCTGAAAAAAGCTTTTCTTGCACTCGTAAAATCAGAGTGCCATCTAGAGCTTTCTTGGATCTGCCTCAGAAGGCAGGAAAGAACAATAGAAGAGAAAGAAAAACTGCACTATCTTGTCAATAAACTGAAAAACAAAAACAAAGCAAACCACAGAGCAGTTTACTGCTTGCGTTACTACTCAAAAGTCTGAGTATCTGAAAGACACCTGACAGTAATAATCTGAAGGCAAAGAACAGGCCGTTACGTCAAAATAAACTGATGTACACATTTTGCATTAGGAAACACTAACAGTTAGGAGATTAATTTCAAAATAAAACTATAAGGATAGAAAAAATAGAGAAAGAACAACTTCACATCTGGATGTCAAAAACAATCCAGTGAAAACGGCTCGGGTCTTTTCACAAGTTTTACCATCATCCTAAGTCTCTCGCTGAAGAACATAAAGCACTGACTGACTGAAAAGGGTCCAAATACCTGGTACAACTTACAATGCTGATGTGGAAATGGCTTTTGGCAAGTAAACCGTACGACATGTATCACAGAAACCCCTTCCTCCTCCCTGATCAGGACTCACGTGAGGACGAAATAAGTAAATAAATAAATAAATTTGGGGCCTCCAAGGGCCAAACCTAGGGCTGCCAAACCTAGGAAAGCGCTCTTATCTTCACAAACACCCTCCCTCCCACAGCGTCAGGGTGCGACAAGCTGCCACGCAGCAATTTCTCGCCACGTTTACAGCAGCAGACGCCTCCGCTCGCTCGGGATTTGCCCTAAATCGGAGGAGAGGCGAGAGGAAAGAAAGAAAGAAAGAAAGAAAAAACCACACACAGCTCCTTGCTAAAGGGCTGTGAGCAGGGATGACCCAAGGCGCCGAGTGACCCCCTCGGGGACAGTGAGCAGCATCAGGGCCGAGGCAGATGTTGCTGCCTGTCCCCGAGGTGGGTCACCCGGCGCCTCGGG